GGGACCCCCGGTTTTAAAAGGGGGGGGGGGGGGGAGGAGTGTGTCCGTTGCTATGACAACCGATTTTTTTTTTTCCTTTCCATAAAATTGGGGTTTTTTTGTTTGTTTATTTCAGTTTAGAAAAACTGAAATAATCAGGATAGAGAAAGAATATAAACTTTCCTCGTTTTTTCCAAGAGAAAAGGCAGTAGCACAGTGTGTGCAAGAGGCCACTCCTTGAGCTCGCATCTCCAACCCCGATTATTTACATATCTTTCCTTAGCACAACTGCACACTTTGTAACACCAAACCAGACATACCAACTAACCCAAATTATTCACCTAGCTTTCCCACACTACGTTGTCAAGTCTGTCTAAAAGGGGACACAGACCTGAACTCATACAGAAGGCTGAGGTTTACTATTTGCAGGCCCAGTCTGCTTTTCAGCTGATAGGATTATCTAGATTTCTTTTTTTTTTGAATAGGAACGACAAAAAAAGCTGAGTCAGCTGTACCACAGCCATTAAGATTCTCAAACTCCTTCCTCCTTAAGGATTTTTTTTTACCCCTACTCTAAGCAGTCAGATGAATATGAGTTGTTTGTTCTGGCAGAGGGACAGTCAGTCTGTTTTCCCCTACATGTATACAGCTAATTTCAAGTCACTAGTGTTCTAGCTGGTGATAAAAGAGCTATCTTCAGCTTTTCACAGAACACAGTGACACTGTTAAATCAGCACAGCATTTTGATTAGCAGAAAGCTGAGAGCTACACAGCTTAATGATAAAAAGGGGCAAAATCCCTTCTGTGCTTAAAACTCCAGTTTCAAAGCAAATAGGTGGCCATGTTTTTCTTTTAAGTTAAAAATTTTCACCTTACTACTGATTCAAGACTATTCAGTGTCAGCAATAGCCTGCACTATTTGAGTAAAGAAGAAAAATTGCTTTCATGCCTTATTGCTCATCTGGTTAGACCTTCTCCTGCGGATGTGTTAACAGGCACCTGTGGGGTCACAGCCCATGGGCTTGGTGACTTGAAGGACGCATAGGCTCTGGTAACTCTTCCTTCAGGAGCTTGGAGGCTCATCCTTGGGTGCATGTTCCCTTTCTAGCACTCTTATCTTTGAATCAGGGGCCGGTGGTTTGTCTGCTCTATCCTTAGAGATAGCATGGATCGCCGAGGTTCTTCTGCAGGTTATACGTCCCCTTGCACATATATGTCCCTCATCTCATCCTTCTGTAAGACAGCAGTCCTTATATTGTCAGGAAGGCTGGGGTGTCCTCGACCTTCTCCAAGAGCATTTTGTTAGTTTTGTGACAGAAGTGAGCCCAGGACCCTTTCTTCAACTTTCCATTCTGGTATAAAATGATCTTTTGATTGGCTGTGGCTATGTGTCCTTTGGCAGGGTACTTCCAGGAGCTGCTATTGGAGGCTGATCCTAAGCCTAAATGCATTCTGATGCCTAAAACTTCCTAATAACTTCCAGACTAAATTTATATGTAATGCATTTATGCCCCTTTGTTCAAGGGCCAAGATGTTCTTTCAACTGAAATAGGTTCTCTCCCTTCTGAGGTTTAAATCTTTACTGTGTTTGTCAAGAGCAGTCTCCTAAACATCAGAGATACCAATAGAGGAGAAATATATTTACTAGCTGACATCTTAGTGAAAGTGGTTGCAGCACTTTGGAATTCATCATTTGCAGACTCTGTGACCCCGCGGTGGTGTTTCTAGGATTGCTTTACAATGCCAAATGGCCTCAGGCTGCACTCTACGTGGTTGCATCCTATCACAGTGCTATGCCAAAGGGAATCCCTATGCAGCTGACAAAATTCAGAAGCAATGCAGATATGGTCATCTCAGACTCTGACATTAATTCAGACATCCTGGCATTTGGACTACTTCTTGGGCTTATTCTCTGGATGCTGGGCTGAACTAGTGAAAATTACACACAGAGGAACTTGAGAGATGCTGAAATTACAGTTGACCCCACTCTAAACTATGACTTACTCTAAACTATGACTTTCTCTAAACCAAAGAATTTGGTCTGGGACCTCCTCAGAGACAAAATCTCAGGAGACCTCAGCTTAATAGGTAGGCTGAGTTAAATGTGATTATCCGTGCTGCTTGTGCCAAGCAGTGCTGCTCACAACCAGCCGCTCCTGCGCACGTACCCATACAGTGTTCTGGGTGTATTTAATGGACTATGCAATAACTTAAAAAGCAAATGAGAGAGGTAGGAAGGCAAGGGGGCTACTTAAAAGCAGAAAGAGAAATACTGTGACCTTGTTCTAGTGGAAAAAGCAAGCAGAAATAAATGATACCTTATGCTAAGAAAAACCAAGTTTGTATTTCCAGAAACTGCAGCGGAATATCTGTATGCCATGGTGTGTCTGTAACAAGCAGAGAACATTCTGCACCGTTAGTGGGGTTCGACTGAGACTAGTGACTCCAGTGAGATGACAGAAGTAGTGCTAAGCTTAGTTTAACACAATCTGCAGAAGCAGCTCTGCACAGTTGCTATAACACTATGTTAAACTAGGCTAAACTCTGAATACTGCTATAGTCACTGCTTTTGGAACTGCTCTGGATTCAGTCTGTCAGAATGTTCTTCTCCTTTACAAAATACATAATCTCATTTAAAATCATCTAGTTTTCTGAAAGCTACTCAATGTGGGGGAAAAAAAGGCTGACACAGTTCCCTCTTGCCTGCTGATGTAGTAAACTTACTGATTGCCTATCTGCAGTGACAACAAACACAGGCTTTTATTTTATTTTTTAATTTTTGAGATCGTATTTATGAACACCTTCTTGGTTCATACTGTCTTCTCAAATATGGTAATTTATATGTACTGCTGCTTAGGAAAGATCAGTTTCTGAAAAGTGTATTTTTTAACTTTTAGTATGGGTATTTTTAAAAATCTCCCTTGATTTGACGAGTAAAGCCCTCCTTTCCCCTCCCCCCCAGCACCCCAAACAATTCCCCTTATATCACTTTACCTGTTGGGATACTAGTGAATTTTGGGGTTTGAAAGTATCCTGGACAGGGTTCCTTATCTTTCACAAAGCAACATACTCTCCTAACACAGCTCTAAAATGTCTGGCTGATCAGTGAACCTCAACTGTTGAGGATTCAGTAGATAATGATTTCTCTCTGAATCAACACCCCAACAACGTTTTAGGAAGAAGAGACCATTATCAGTGAGATAGTTCCCAGATCTCCTTTTCTATTCCAACACTTCATTGTTTTTCAACAAAACTTTTCATGTTCTTAGTTTGAAAAGTGAGCTGTAATTTTTTTTTTTTTTAAAAAGGGGTGGATTGGGTTGGCTTGCGGTCCTTCCTGCAGAAGGAAAAGTGCTCATCCTGGAGTTTCTGGCTGAAGTCCAGCACAGACAATGGAAGTTCATCTTCCCAAATCCTCTCTGTAACTCTGCTTGGATCAAGTCATCTTCCACTCCCTGTGCAAACTGTTTTGCTGCTATTTTAATAGCTTCAGAGCTCTACCACTGGCATCCGTCTTAAGTGATGAGCAAAGCGACCCTTTCAGTCTCACGTCTAATTTGTACTGACTGTTCTGTCATTAGTTAGCTAATGATTTGTGAAATATTTTGTGATATACCTTGTGGTCTTCAGCCCAACAGTCCTCTCGAAGTGTCTAATGTTAGTAGTAGTGATGATACACAGCAATGCACCATTGCATTTCCCCATGCGTTTCTTTCGTTTAAGCATGTTAAGTGGTTTAAAAACTTCTGCTGCATGTTGAAACTTTTAGTTTTTGGCAGTGTGTTGCAAGCATACAAGCAGAGCTTCCTCTTGCAGGCTTTCCTTCTGCCAGCAGTTCCCGTTCACACCAGCAATATCATCAGCTGCCCGCAGGCTAAATTTTGCAGCATACCACAGTGTACCTTGAGATCTTGGGGGTTTTTTGATCTTGGTGGTTGTTTGGTGGCATTTTTTTTTTAATTTCTTTTTTTTCCTCTCATCCACTCAGAGTGCACCTGAGCTTCTGCCCAGGGTTATGAGGAAACCAGGGAGTAGAAGATGCTTGTGTGCATGCAGGTTTTGTGCCAGTGCAGCCCTGGGACCTGACCAGGGCTTGTCCCTGTGCCTGAGAAAGGCTAGTGCAGGTAGGACCATTTACTCGAACTGCAACTAGGTGCATAACTGGGATTATTCATGTTATACAAACTGGGAGGATTGGAGCTCTGCTGCATGTGAGATCGTATACACAAAGCCAATGCAAAGCTCCCACTGATTTTGGAAAAGCCTGGATATAAGAGATGATATCCTTACTACTGAGAGCTGGAATGAAAGAGATCTAGAGAAGCCACTAGAAATCCACGCGCGGCAGAATACCTTGCAGCTTCGGAGTATCTCTCTAAGTGCCTAAACACAGCAGCTTGGCGCAGGTGGTTCCGGAAATTGGCTGAGTTCTGAATAATGCTCCTTTAAAAGATGAGAGAGAGGGACAAGGTTAGATTTCTAATTCCTAAATCATTAAAAGCTACTAATAGTCAAACTGTGTCTAAGATACATATTGTATACACTTATTCTATACAACTCAACACTGCATGCCTCAAATGTCATATGAACTATTACTTTTGACAGCTGTGATATATGAACAGGAATTATTAAAATTTTTATTGAGGTTATATCATAAATGCAGTTTCATTAGGGCTTTGTGTATTGTTCTAGAAAAATTCCTGTGGTAATATTCTCTATTGCCTTTAGCTTGTACATAACATAAGTAAAAATGCTACAGTGCAAGTTCTTGCTAACCCCTAGCTCCACAAACAAGAGTGGCAGTTGTCTGACCCGTTTATCTGGAAGATCTGTGCATCTAGAATGTGTTTTTTATGCTAACTTGGAAGATTTTAAAAATATTTTCTGTATGAGTGATGGGTTCCATGTGGGTGGACCTTGGCATGTTTCTCAGGCCTGTAACTTTAACAGATGCAATTCCAGGTGTAACAAATTACAGGCTTTAAGTCAATATCAGAAGAAAATGGAAGGATAAAAATAGCATAAGCTAAGCAGTTAGATTGGCAGGTGGAGTAGCCTTCTGATGTGAGCAAGGGGAGGGCAAGAGTGACAGCTCCTTCTACATCTAATTAGTTCCACTTGTGAGATCTCCAACAAGTGACTGGCTTCTCCGGTCAGCATTTCTCCCAGTTTTTGTAGAAAAGGTGTGTGTGTGTTCTAGGATGCAAAGCGTGTTCTAGAATGCAAAGGTTAATATTTATCACTACATAAATGTTTTTATAAAGTATTTAATGGTAACTTAAAACATTAATGAAGAGATTAACACTACATTCTGTTATAAAGAAAACTTTCAAACTGGCTTTTGTTTCCTTATTGAAAGTTTTGAATATCATGTTAGCATTAAAAACTACTGCTCTTGTGATTTCAGTCTACAAATAACCACAAAGCTAGTCCTCTTCATACCCTAATAATTCACTGAAGTTTATTCATTGTCTTGAAACTATAATATAAATATATATGTAAACACATTCAGCTATAAATTCACATTTATGGAAACACCCAGTGCATTTTAGAAGACTAATAACTGTCTTTTCTGTATGTACTCAGCACTCATGGGCTGTATGTCTGGGGCCTTCAGAAGGAGCTTTCAAAATAAGTTAAAACCTAAAAGTATTTCCAAGATGATGAAGACTTGTGAACTAAATTGACTCTGCAGGCACTTTCTTCATGGCGTACAGAAGAAAGCCTAAAGCTTTGAATGGTTACATATACATTTGCAAGTAATTGGATGTCTAAGGAGTGGATCAGTTGATTGGAGAAGCTAAAGTTGAGACCCCTACATCTCTACTGTAGATAGTTTTTTTTTTTTTTTTCAGACTAGTCTTAGTCTGTTCCCTTAAACAAAATGTCCCCATGCTCAAAGCTGTCTTGAAGGTCAGCAGTTGGTTTGGATTCCTGTACCTTCATTAGGTGCTACTTGTGTTTTGTGTCCAGCTCACACAGAATGTGCAGGTAGTTTTCTCTGAAAAGTCTAGCTTGTGAGTGCCAAAATTGGTCTGTGAATAATCTGGCATGGAGGCAATTGGGTAAAGTGCATCACAATCCTACTGTTGTGCCAAACCGGGATGCTAATGCTGCAGTTCTCAGCCAAATGTGGTTCAGGCCTGAGGTTTAGATGATGCTAATGGTCACCAAAACTTAATTTAACCAAAATAAAATCCACCAAGATTTTTGGAAAACTAAAAGATCAAATACTATCAGCATTTAATGATTTGACCAAAACTGTAATACCTTACGTAGATGACAACTGGTACTTCTGCAAGCTATTTTAAAGATTTTTGCTGCTGTAGACAGTAGTCAACAGTTGATAATAGTGATATTGATTTTTTCCCTTTTTTTTTTTCCCCTTTCCAAGTTATCAGTTCTACCACAGCCAAGCAATAGCACTATGAGGGGAAAAAATTAAAAAATCAATAATTCCCTGGTAGTTAGCAACACATTTTCTCTAAGTCTTTGAGCAGGATGTGTTGTGATAGGCTTATAACAAATATAGAACTGTGGCAGTTTTTAAAAGAATTAGATATCAGCTCTCCATTTTCCATCTTGATTTTTTTTTTACTAGTCTCAAAAAGATCAACTGCTTCTCTCAATCTATAAATTCTATACTGAAAAATATTATAGCACATCCTAATAGCTCGAGTGAACATCAGAGAGCTACCTTTTGACTCCTGGCAGTTTGGTTTGATGTTGCTAGGCTCTCTGTAGCCTATACACGAGAAATAATTTCTGCTATATTACTACTCTACCCAAAAGTAGCCCTTTACTGTACCAAAGCAGCTCCAGTTTAGTAGCCTTTGTGCAGAGCAATGCTCATTTAATGCCAGGTGTGCCCAAAAACTGTGCAGAACTCTCTCTTTGGCTTTTAAATCTGACTCTGATGTGTTTCAGGTGATTTTAGTGAAAGGAAGGAAAAAAGAAAGAAAAACCTGAATGAAAATAAGAAGCAAAGGACTCATAGAAACAAAGGTTAAGAGGAAAACCCGAATTCCAGGAAGTTCTCCTTCAAATAGGAGCAGATGGGGGACCCATCTGGCCAGGCAGAACTGCGCCAGGCTGTGCATACTGAGAACAAGTCCGTGCTCCAAGATCCACCTCCAGCCATGAGCAGTCTTGATACTAGGCTGGTTAATCCAGTAATTAATTAGGAGGGATGTGTTTCAAGAGGGAGGCTTGAAAGAAGAATTAGGAAGGGAAGAAGGTGGTGGACACGCCAGCTGCGGCGCAGTTGGGACAATCTCTGTGCGTGGTGACTTGTGCCATGAGCAGAAGCGTTGGTCCTTTGGTCTTTTTACTCATGTGCCTCTCATGGGAGCTCCAGGTAGAAAAAGTAGTTTTGACAGGAAATATCTGAAAATGGATAGCTCTTATTTTGCACAGAGAAAACTTCTAATCCGCAAAACTGCAAATAAAGTCACTACATCTGAAGATTAAAACTTGTGTTCTTGCCAGGTTTTGCCCCCATCTGTCAAATGACTAGGCTAAAGTAAACTTGAAATAGATTTTCATTTATTTTTCATCTTCGCTGTAATCCAAAGACTGCCCTGTTAAAAGCCTTTCGTAAATCATTTGGTCAGTTTTTCTCAACAAAACAGTCCTTAAGTAATGCCGTATATCAGCCTCTTTTTTGACATTTTCATTTTTTCATCTTGACATCTTCTCTTAAAAATAATACAGTGTTTGTCCTATTATCTTTTTTTCAAACTCTGAGGTGGGGGGAAGACGGCATCAACTCTCTCCCCATCGTAGGAGTTGGAGTATGTGAATCAAAGATGCACACATTAGTCTGTGTGTTTCTCTGCAAGTTTTTCTTTCAATCTTGCTGCCTGATGTTAAGGAAACAGGTGTGGCGAGAAACTCGGATTGCTCCATCAGAACTGGCTGCTAGAAATCACATTGCCTTTTTCTCCAAGGTGCACATTCTCTATCGGATTCCTTCCCAAATGTAAGGGGATTTAACTGTAATCTGACTGACATGAAAAAGTGCCTCTGCTACGATCCACCACATCATTCGTGTTTGGCCTTTATAGGCCAAGAAAAAGTCAATGAGATGATTCTATAGATGAAACAAGTGGGGAAAAAATACACTTCACTGCTAAAGCAGATAAACTCATTTTTCTTGCTAGTACTGTGAGTAAAAGATAGCTTGTTTGGAGAGGTGCATGCAGTTATTTCTTTAATTCGGGTGGCAGAAGCTTTTTCTTTTCCTTAGTTGTCCATGCCTTCCTGTGGTATGGTGTGGTGTTCTGTACAAATGCATTTCAATAGTCAATTCTAATTGACTATTAGAGAGGAATTAGGTGACTTATCAGAAATAAAAAATTCAGTCCTAAAGCAACACGTGCCTCTGTGGAGAGACGTAAAGCTATCACGGGTCGGTATGGTAGCGCGCTGTGCCGGCACGTCCGCGTGTCACTGGTACGGGACGACTGTGCAAATGTAATCGCTGAGGCGTTCTTCACCTCAACATGAAATACGATGTCAGCACAGGAGATGTGTCAACTAGTATTCAGCAGAGCCATGTATTCAGTTGCTGTAGACTAATACAATGCTTTTATCTTCAGTGAATACTGTCAATCAGTACAGCCGGTGATCCAGCCCCAATATGCTTACAGCTGAACCTGACAAATCCTGTGCAAATTACATTGAATCTCAACTTTCTTCTTTTTCCTTGTTTTGTCTATATGGCAGGTGGCTTATCTGCAGTGTAGTTACTAGTCTTACAGCTGTTCGAGTCTGCCGTGCTCCGGCCTGTGATCCCAAGGGCTGGTTTAAGAGGTCAGCTCTACTCGAGGCAGTCAAATTCTGAACCTTAAATTCCTGAACCCTGTAGTAGCCAGGAATCAACCTCATCATATTTTTCTACAATGGGCATGTGCAGCTGTGTTATGATTTTTATTTCAGTTTTATTTGGGGACCTCATGGAGGTACATTTGCTTGCAGTCAACTTTGTATTCAAAACCACTTCTCCCAGGGTTGTGGTAGGGAACTAAGAGGGATGTGTCTTGGATACACAAAAGCTTGCGGGCTTCCTTGCCCTATGTGACAGTTTACCAAAGCTGACATCCTGAAGAGGGTAAAAAAAACCTCTGTGTTGCCAGTGGAAATATGTGGTAGGTTTGTGAAAGCAGGCACGCAGGAGCACTTTCTCCCAAGGGACAAGAGTGCGGTGGTTTCAGTGCTGATGGACATTATTAATTAAAAGAAGGTGGTGGTTGTCTACAGTGAGGAGGCTCATGTCGAAGGGACATGAGAGGGAGGCAGGGCCTTTCTACTGAGCTTGATTTCAGTTTCTTGGTGTCTGGGCAGATTCAGACCTGTTGGTCCATGGGGAAGATTTCTTTCTATTGCCACCAAATGCCTGGCTGTGGCTGTGCCCTCCCTGCCCTGTGCTCGGGGAACTTTCC